TTGTCTTGATCACTCCTTAATTTCAACTTGAAAATGAGCAATTAATGTAGAAAAAAAATAATAGATACCTAATCCTCTAGTGCACTGGTTCTCAACTGGGGGTGATTTTGCCTTCCAGGGAACATTTGGCAACGTCTGGAGACATCTTTAGTTGTCGTAATAGGGGAGGCGGGGTACTACTGGCTCCTAGTAGGTAGAGGCCAGGGATGCTGCTAAACATCCTACAATACAACGGACAGCCACATACAACAAAGAAGTACCTGGCCCCAAGACACCAGTAGTGCTAAGGTGGAGAACAGTGGCAGTGTGTGTCACAAGGAAAGCTCTGGACTGAGAATAAGGAGACCTGAGTTTTCATTGCCATTTTCCTATCAGTTTGGTCCAGGTCAATCACCTCATCTCCCTTGGACTAGATTTCCTCCTTTGTAACATGAAGAGTTTGGATGAGATCTTTATGGACCCTTCCACTCCAAAATTCCATAACTCATTTTTCTACCACATGAATGCATTATATGCGGTCTTCTCAATTATTTGCTTATATAAAGCACTGAGAAATTCTCAAAAGCAAACATAACTTTTTGTGGGAGTAAGCTTCTTTTTGCCAAATAGTAGCCACTGTTTGTAATACACCAGGGGTTCACTCCAGGTATCAAAATTCAGATAAAGATTGCCTTCCTTCTGTTGCTCGTGAGCACATTTTCAACTATATCTTCTTTTAGCTGTCTTTGGCAAATAATGGGGCCCCATGGGGGAGGAATTAAGACTTAATGAGATTATGTCATCTGATTTAAAAACGGGCAAAGGACTTGAATAGACTTTTCTCCAAAGAGGATATACCAATGGCCAACAAACATATGAAATGATGCTCAACATCACTAAACATTAGGGAGATGTAAATTAAAGCCAGAATAAGATATCACCTCATACCCTTTCAGGATGGCTCCTATCAAAACAACAACAACAATGACAACAAAACCTAAAAACAAAACAAATCGAAAAACAAAGTAACAAGTGTGGGCAAGCATGTGAAAACTGGAACCCTTGTGCACTGTTGGTAGGAAATAAAATGGTGCAGCTACTATGGAAAACAGTATGGTGGTTCCTCAAAAAAATTAAAAATAGAATTACCATATGATCTAGCAATCCCACTTGTGGATATATATCCCAAAAGATTGAAAGCCAGAACTCAGAGATTTTCACACCCATGTCCATAGCACCACTATTTACAGTAGCCAAGAAGTGGAAGCAATCCAGATGTCCACTGATGGAGGGATGAATGAATAAACAAAATGTAGTATAGCCATACAATGGAAATATTATTGAAGAGGAAGGAAATTCTGACATGCACTACAATAGGAATGAACCTTGAGGACAGTGAAATAGGCCAATCGCAAAAAAACTAATACTCTGTGATTCCACTTACAGGAGTTATCTAGAGTGGTCAAATTCATAGATACAAAAAATAAAGTAGTAGTGACCAGGGACCAGGGGAAGGGGGAAACGGGGAGTTATTTAATTGGCACAGAGTTTCAGTTTTAAAAGATGAAAATGTTCCGGAGATTAGTTACAAAGCAGTGTGAATATACTTAATACTACTGAACTGTACACTTAGTTAAGATGATAAATTTTATGTGTTTTTTAACTACAATTAAAAAAGATTATATATCAAAAGTACCTCACAGTCAAGGGCCTGTTTATAGTCTTTTACTATTAAACACTTAAATTTCTTTTCCCCCAGTGCTCTTCTTCACACAAGGATGGAAAACCAGAGGAATAGAGGTGGAGTCTATGCAAAATTTGTACCCCCGGTGCATGAAACTTTTTTTCCACCTGGTGAAAACCGTGCCTTAATAATCACTGGTTCTTGGTTGGTGCGTATCATTACTGTGTGCCTTTGGCTTAAACTAAAGCAGTTCATTGTGGAATGATTTTGGATGGTTTCCCATATTAACTGTCAACCTAAAAATCTTTTAGCCTACAAATGAATGGACAATTTCCCAAGTTTGAGACTTAATGTGATCTATGAAAGGAATTATATCAGACTGGTAATATCCCTGGTTTAACAATCAATAGACAATTTTAATTTTCTTCTTTGTACATTTTTTTTTTTTTAAGATTTTATTTATTTATTTGACAGACACACACAGTGAGAGAGGAAACACAAGCAGGGGGAGTGGGAGAGGGAGAAGCAGGCTTCCTGCCGAGCAGGGAGCCTGATGCGGGGCTCGATCCCAGGACCCTGGGATCATGACCTGAGCTGAAGGCAGACGCTTAACGACTGAGCCACCCAGGCGCCCTTCTTTGTACATTTTTATAGTAAATAGGTTTTATAATCGGAACACTATCATCCATGATATAACCTAAGAACCATCCCTCACCTGGCTAAGGTCTGGGGAATGGTACTCTTGATATAAAAACTAAAATGGTTGTAATCCTCTGATTTCACAGAATGAAATTCTTCTGGAGAAAAAGACTAAGAGAAGTAAGATTCTGAAGCTGAAGTTCCCAAGGACAGAAGAAGAACGACGCATGCGGACGCAGAGTAAGCGGTGTCTGGAAGCTAGGAAAGAGCAGCGACAGAAGAACTTTGTAGACCTGGCCTGTGAGTGCAGTGCAGTCATCTGCTGCCGGGTCACCCCCAAGCAGAAGGCAATGGTGGTGGACCTGGTGAAGAGGTACAAGAAGGCCATCACGCTGGCGATCGGAGATGGGGCCAATGATGTAAACATGATCAAAAGTGAGTCTCACCCACAGCCAATGCCACCAGAATTGCCAGAGAGAAGGGATGTTTTGGGGCGTAGTCTTTCCAAATGTCATTGCTTAGGCTTTCATAAAGCTTTCTCATCTGAAACAAGAATATTATCTTTTGATGTCACCTCCAGTTTTGTGATATTATTAAGATAAACCATTTGTTACATGACCACACATGTCCTGTTATGCTGGGTACCTTAACTGCATAATGTATAACTAGACTTAATTCAGCCTATTTTGTAATTCGTGTCTTTTTCTTTTCTTAGAGTCTCTTCTTCCTCCTCCCTGATCTATACTAAGAATATTCCAACTTTATCTTCCTCAGCAGGAGTCAGCTATATTACGTATGTCTTCTTGCTTCTTTATCATGTGTATGTCTGTGACCACTGCCAGTTTAATTCCTCTCCAGTGTGTTCTGCATGTGTTCACCCTACCATAGGACTGGCATTTCTTGTTCCAAATGATACCAATTTCTTTCCCCTACAGCCAGTTCTAGTTCATTTGCCATTGTGTACCCTTAACATAAATGGCTGTGCCAAAAAGGCAAGTAACTCAAACATTATTTTTATAAAGCTACAATGCAGACTTCTAGATGTTGGAGAGAGGGAGGTTACCTTGCAGATGTACCATTTGACTATGTGACTTAGACTTGAAAATTTTTTTGTTCCTCTGAGCTTACCAATAATAGATAATAAAAGGGATCACAAAAATTCAACATAAGTAACCTTGTATGTCCTAAGAATTTTATTAAGTTCTGTTATATGGCAGATACTTTTATATATAATAGGGAGCATCCATTTGGGATGAAAATCAAAGAAACTCAGGTCTCCTTGGAAGTCAGCAGCTTTATCCGTATTGATAGTACCTTTTTGTACTTTAGAAAAACTGGCATCACTTTCATTTGCATAAAAAACAATATGCAGAAATTATGTTTGTTTATAAAGAAGTACAGTGAAATTTAAGTGTCCAAAAATCTGGCCATTTGTTAGCATGTTCCACGTTGAGTAATGGAGCCCAGCAGAAGTGGAGGGAGTTGCAACCCGCCATGTTTTTGCTGCTAGCAAGGACCCAAGGGCTCTCACGGGCTGCCTGCCCTCTCTCCCTCTCTTGGGCCTGAAGGTGTCTGCTGGCTGGTGGGTGTTTTTCGTTGGCCTAACACCCTAAGAATGAACAAGCAGCATGAGAGGGGAGACAGGCAGAAAAGCATGAGGACATGATGGGTTTGTTAAGCAACCCTGAAGGAGCCTACCAGTGAGCCATCTGAAACCACATTTTTGAAGCTTCAGGAAAATCCAGGTGTCTATATTTAGATTATAGGGGGAAAAAAAGTGTGGCCTTATAAAGTACATCTCTTCAGTTGCTTCGAATCCCCTGTGAGCTGTAGCAGTGTTCATTTCACATACTGTCCTTGGTGTGCTCGGCAAAAACGTTGGGCTGGACATCAGGGCTTGTGGCAGGGGTTCTTCCTTCTTGGCTCCACGAGAATCTCCACATTTCCCTTTGTTGCTTGTTCAGGAAAGAAGGCCACGGTTTGGTAGGAAAGAGCAGTTTGGCAACCATGACTAGTCATAAGAATTATTTATGTGTTTTGAAAGAAATCGTAAATATTGACTGAGGCATGCAATTTATTCTATTTTTTAGAATTGCAAAGTGTTGCTGAAAACATAGGTTTGGCCAAGTCACTATGTCGCTTTGAATTTGCCAGACCTAGTATTCTGCCACTATGGCAGGATTTTGGAAGCTTCTTTTAGTTGGAAACCCTGCTGAGTTGGCAGTCATTCTCCGGGTCTAAGTAATAATACGTTGTGTTCTCCAGCACATGTTCTCTAACTGATGTCAGAACGTCTTTACTTCCATGCCTCTTAAGACCTAGATAAAATTTGTAATTCTAGAAGTTGAGACTGTGACTAAATGACTATTGGAAGGACGGATAAAATTGTGACTTTCATTTTTATCCATTCCGGAACCTTCCCTGGCAAAAAAATTCTGCCTCTTAAGGTCATGGTGGGCCATGATTAAATGCTGAAAGTTTAATATTATCTTAGTTAAAATACTTCTGATTGCAAATATTAGAGAGCTAAAGCAAGCTTAAGACAAAAAGATAATTTATTTTAAAAGATATAAAGATGGGGACACCTGGGGGGATCAGTTGGTTAAGTGTCTGCCTTTAGCTCAGGTTGTGATCCCAGGGTTCTGGGATCAAGTCCCATGTTGGGCTCCCTGCTCAGCGGGGAATCTGCTTCTCCCTCTGCCTCTCCCCTCCACTCCTGCTCTCCCAAATTTAAAAAAAAAAAAAGATGTTTTGTGCCTCCTAAGAAGCCACGCCTCAGGAAGATGCTAGAACCAGGACCTGGAGCTGCACCAGGACCCCAGCTTCTGGTTTCTCCCTCTTTCTAGATGACTTTACTTCTCTGCCCCTCAGAACCCCTGAGAAAAAAAATATATCTGTCCCACAGCTCAAGAATGTATAGGTTAAAATTCCAAACACAAACATGCCCGAATCTTAATTCCAAAATGTGAAAGAGACACTGATTGCCCCAGCTTGGGTTTTCAGTCAGTTAGTACAAGATACAGACCCCGTTGGGTACTTTAAGCAGGAAGTGATTAATACAGGGGACTAGGTGCTCATGAAAGCTCTGGATGGGCTGAAGAAAGTAGGTGCTAGCCCGAGTCTCTAACATCTTAGTCACTCACCAGAGGAGCTTCTAGCTTTGAGACTCCTGTGAAGGGCTTTTCAGTTGAGCTTTTGTCTGTCAGCATCCAGGCAGCTGGGGAGAGCATACGAACTCTGCTGAAGAAATGCCAAAAAGGGAAGGGGTGCTGGGCCCCAGTTCGCTTCTACTTCCGGAAACTTCAAGTGGCTCCTAACAATGAAACCCAATTCACCAACAGAACCTAGTGCAAGGGAGTCTGAGCAATGTAAGGTTTTTATGTGCTTTCCCACCTTTCCAGTAGAACAAGGGTGGAATGAAAGTTGGGAGGGCCAATTTGTAGTATCTGCCAATAGCAGCTGACTCAGCTGTGGCCAGGGAGGCAGGAACGCACAGTCTGCATAGACTCCTTGGATTAACCCCGTGGGCGGGAAGGATGGCCTATCAGCTGGGCAGATAATCCAAATGGAATTCACCACCCACCTGAGATCCTTCCACAAATACCTTTTGGAGGCCCCAGCATGTGCTCTTTTGAGCAACTTGTATCTCTGACATTGAGTTCAGAAGCTGGGGTGGGGCTGGTGAGAGAGAGTTTTCACATATATTGTTCCATGAATGTGTTTCTTTGTTTTGCTGTGGAAACATTTTTATCACTTAAATATTTCGCCTTAAAATTAGCTTACGATTCACATATCTTCTCCCTCTGTCCCACAGCTGCCCACATTGGTGTTGGAATAAGTGGACAAGAAGGCATGCAAGCTGTCATGTCAAGTGACTACTCCTTTGCCCAGTTCAGATACTTGCAGAGACTGTTGCTGGTACATGGCCGGTGGTCTTACATAAGGATGTGCAAGTTCCTACGATACTTCTTTTATAAAAACTTTGCATTTACTTTGGTTCATTTCTGGTACTCCTTCTTCAATGGGTACTCTGCACAGGTAAGAGAATAATAATTATTATTACCTGATGAGTAGAAGTCTTATATAAATAAAACTCTACTTCTGAGAAAAACATTTCCCCTCCATACTTGCAGTTTTGATGCTCTATCTCTTAATAGTTGCACAGATTGAGATGATAGATGACTTTTCTAAAAGGTTTCTGGTGCTTTAAAAATACTTTATTTTGCCTTTAAAAAGTTGGGATTTGTTCCTGACCTACTGGCTTTTGTTATGTGACTTTGCCTTCATCCTAGATTTTTTATCCTAAGTCACCCTGCCATTAAGAATAGTGATAACAGGGGTGCCTGGGTGGCTCAGTTGGTTAAGCGACTGCCTTCGGCTCAGGTCATGATCCTGGAGTCCCAGGATCGAGTCCCGCATCGGGTTCCCTGCTCGGCAGCGAGTCTGCTTCTCCCTCTGAACCTCCCTCCTCATGCTATCTCATTCTATCAAATAAATAAATAAAAATCTTTAAAAAAAAAAATAGTGATAACAAATTATTCATCGTTGAACATAAAAAGTGATATTGTGACCAAGGCTAAAGGGATTATGTAAATTTTGGATGACTGATTTAGCCTGTTGGTTTTTGTTTTTGTTTGTGCTGAAATGGCAGCGGGGGACATATAGAGCATGCTGAAATGGTGATACAGCAGAAAAATACCATTAGTGAAAATGAACCTAAGTCAGTGCTTGTGGTTGTCCAAACTTCTGATGCCACTGCCACAGACAAATGGTATCAGAAGAGCCGCAGAGAACCATGAGAGACGATGGACTCTGAAAAACAAACAGGGTTCTAGAGGGGAGGGGGGTGGGAGGATGG